CATATGGACAGTTAAACAGACCGTTTCATTCCCGTCCCATCCACACTACCCCCCAAAATACACAATCACTTTGCTAGGAAAAACTCTACTCATGATTTGAAAAAAAGTAATCTTTTTTATATCAGGAAGCTTTCATAAATATGGTTTCTCATACTTGCCCTGAAGTTCGTAAGAATAATATTTCAAAACGACCCCTTCTTTTTTTTTAACTGACTGTTTTCTTCATTGTTTTCATTTTATATTCCCCAAGGTTGCCCGCATAGTGCAGTGATTAGATAGACTGCTCTATAGTCGCGAGGTAAGGATCAGCTCCATACGTCGTGGTTTCGAATCCCACTGTGGGACGTGGGGACCTGTTCTTCCGATGAGACCGTATAAAACAAGGTCCTGTGTCGCTTTAGGTGCTGGCACAAAAAAGATCCCTCCCTGCTCAAAGGCCCTAAGTGCCGATTATAGGATTGATTGATTGATTTTATGTTGTTTAACGCCGAGTCGGCAATTTTTCAGCCATATTTCGGCGGACTATAAGGTTAATGGATAAGTAAAGTTTTTGGTTTCTCTGGCGGCCCCCAATGAGCCTACTCTTTTTCGAACTCCAGAGAAACGATCTTTTGCGTGCCAAGGGGGTTGTCATCCTTGACACGGGGCACCATTTAACGTCCCGTCCGACGGACTTAAATATTTTTAAAAATATATAAACTGTTAAAAATAGTGTTTAAACTGTTGATAAAATAAATTCATTTATGCTAATGTATTTCTAATTAAAATTACTTTCAAGACTTATTTAAATTTTATTATAATAATCCGTTTTTTGTAGATATTCTAAAATTTTGTAAACATGAACATTTGTAAAAATTTCATACATTGTTTTTACACTTCCAAAAAGTCTACTTCGAATAGGTATAAAATCGGAACATTCTAAAAGTATGTGATTTATAGTTATCAGACAGTCACAGGATATACATTCTGGCTGTGACTCCTGATTCAATAAATATTCATGTATAATTTTTGAATGCCCAATGCCGATTATAGGACAATTAATGTTTAACTATGGTGCCGGTTATGATTTTAACAGTTTAAATTAGGAAATAAAAGTGTGTAATCACATGATAAGTTTCTGATATTCAGTACATGTAGCTGCAGATTGTTATATAAGTTCTTAAATTTTCGATTCCGTACATACAATGCGGGTTTATTACTACTTACATGTTCATTGTACATGTATAACCTGCTACTGATATCTTTAAAATCACGGAACAAAATTAAAATGTTAGCACACTTTACTAATCATTTACAGGTTTTGAATAAATTATTACACAAATTAAATTCATTGCTTTAAAATCTTGAATTATTTTTTCAACTTGACTATTCATTGTGCAAGCACAGAAGTCACTTATGAAGTTTACAGGTGCGGAGATACTTATCGATGTTTAGTCCATTTCATTGAGTTTAATTCTAATTAGATCCTTATGATTTGGAATATTTTCTTTAAAAGTTTAAAACTGAAATAGCCATAATAAAAATCTGTGATGAAAAAAAATGTGTTTGGGAAAATTTGTGTTGAAAACAGATTTATTTGTGTGTTAAAAGCACAAATTAAGCTTGTTCATTTAAATCAATATTGGTTGAAGTTAAGTAACCGCAGATCGCCAGTCCTTACGCTATAAATCGTCAAAATGAAAAGTAAAATTACACATTGAACTAACGAACTATAAAAATTGAAGATTGATTAATGTACATATAAAATAAATACCCCAGCGTTTTGTTCTAAAGTCTAACCTAAGATATTTTAAAATATTTTTGAAAGGTTCGATTTACTAACAGAAAATAATGTTTTCCGTAAGTTTGTAAAATTAGATTTAACTTTCGACCACGCTTTGTAAATTAATGTCAACAAGCGATGGAAGGAATGATTGGTCGCGTAATTGTAAACAAACACAAAGCCTAGATAGCTGTTTTAGATAAACATGTATCACGATCAAATTTAAAACAAAGATAAGCCAACATATTAATCTCAAATATCCGACAATAATAATTTTCCATTAATTGTAAAATATAGTTTTAATACACCAGTTATTTTGTCTATGACTACGGGGTCAATGGTTCGCCGCGGTGTGTCGCTTTAGATTTTCTTGGACACGTGTAATCGTAAGACTACGCAATGGTACACACGCTTAAAATCTGGGTTCCAGGTGAATGTGAGAATCGCGCGGTAAATAATTTTTGTATTATTTGACTCTTTAAAAGTTCTTTTTATGAGATCCGGGCGTTTATCGTTTTCGTTCATATTGTTTGTGTTCATATTGAAAAGAAGAAAAGATACTAGCTCATGCTTTTTCTGTAACTCTTTCTCTTGGAAAGATCTTGATTAATAAAATGAAAATGATGCCATTGAATACTCTGAATGGGAACCAAAGAACACGTTTAAAACCTAATTTAAAAAAAAGAGATATGATACAGCGTTGTAAAATATTTATTAATTATGGCAAGTTTACTGCAATTCTACGTATAAAGACTAAAGAGTTTTCCTTCAATAGCAAGATGAGAACTGTCTAACTTTCTTTCCATAATACGTAAGACTTGAACAAAATAATATTTTCATAGGACAGAGATAGTATTAAGGAACAATTTAATATATTTTAAAAAATGAATTTAACCATTCTGTGTTTTTATTTGTGTATAACTGTGGGTCGCTGGATTACCCGCCGATTGATTCCCGCTGACCGACTTTGCCCCGCGTTATCGAGGGAGGCGCGTTATATAATTGTAAACAAACAAGGTGAATATGAAGGCGTGCGCTTAGTAAATAAGCATGACAATTTGGGAAAAAAAGCACAAAACACTTCAAGAACTTTATTCTAAAGAATATTAGCATCCAATGTAGCCATGATTTTTATTTAAAGTAAGTTTGTTTTATATACACGCATGAGAAGCTCTCATTTACGAGCTGAGCGAAAAAAATTACCTGTACATATATAGGTCATGCATATAGCTCATTTTAAACAAGACTAGAACAAAATAACAATTTCATAAGATCAGTAAAATGTTAAAGCACAACTTTATTATCGAAAGTCATTCGAAATATTAATCGTTTTTGAGATATATAGCAAAAACTTTCAAGGGCTCTAGATCCCTAATTTTAGGGGCTAGCCCCTTTTTAATGATATCAAATGAATGCTCTTGCAATAATGCACAACTTTTATTCAATATGTCTTAACAAAATATTTTTAGTTTTCAAGAAAAAAAGGAAAATATGTGTAAATTTTCGCTCTTTTAGGCGTTCTAATTTTTGACCCCTATAAAGCGCCATTTTGAATACAGATATCGAAAAACAAAAACAGATGTGCACAACTTCAATCCTTCTGTTATCTAAAACCAGTAAAATTACTGCTCCAGCTTTTGTTGTCTCTGAGCCTTTATCCGGAAACGAAAGCTTATAATTTTTCTTATAAAGGGAAATAACTCATAAGCGGAAGTAAATTTTTAAAATGTTAGACATCATTCTGATAGAGTTTATTACCATCTATAATGTCTGAAAATTTGAGCAAAATCTATGAAGAAATGAGTGAGATATGAGGCCTCAAAGTTGGCGTCTAGGAAGTAGAAGAAAAAAAAAGAATAACTAGAGCAAAGCTCGTTGCAAAGCAACGAGTAGGTCTTCCGTCATGTTTGACCGGAAGTAGCTTTCATTTTTAACAGAAATGAGAAAAAACGTCAAAAATGGCTTGAATCCTCTAAATCCATGTTAATTTATGCAAAAATAAGCCATTTTTTGCTACTTCCGGTTTGACCGGAAGTGACGACGACGGACGGAAAATTAGTTTTAATGCTCCCGGAGACATATGTTATCAAAGAACTTGTCAAGAACGGCAGAAATACGCATTTTCCGACTACTTCCGGTTTTGCCGGATGTGACGACGCCGGGCGTATTTTGACGACCCCAATAGATTTAGCTTGACATTTTGAACAACTTTGCTTCTTTGACGTATCACAAATTATCAATACTTTTTGAGATATTAAGCAAAAACTTTCGGCCCCTCAAGGCCCTTAATTCAAGGGGCCAGCCCTTTTCTCGAGATGTCATTTGAAAGATTTTGGAATTCTACACCTTTTTTGTTCTACATGTTTTAACAAAATTTTTCTAGGTAAAAAGTTATCGTAGAAAAGGTGGTAAAAATTTTGAAATTCTTGAAAGGACTAATTTCAGGCCATAGCGAGCGTCGGCGCTTCGTACTTCCGGTAGATGTGATATACTCAGTGCACTTCTCCAAAGGTTGCTCTAAGCATCACTGAAAATTTCATGCTTCTGTGTTGAGTGCTTTTTGAGAAAACTGCCGGACAAAGTGACCCTCTAAAAATCACTAAATCGCAGAAAACTCCGAACCGGAAGTGACGTCATCAAAATAAAAAAATATATATCTAGAGTTTTTGATGTTCTATCAGACCTGAAAGTTTCATAAAAATCGATCAAGCCGTTTTCGAGAAATCGCGCGCACAAAATCGGTAAGAAAAAAAAACAATAATAAAAATAGTGGAAAAGAAACCTAAGAAAAACAATAAGGTCTTCCGCTGAAGACGGAAGACCTTAATAATCTTTACCAACAGAATCAGTAGAAGGTCTTCCGTTGGAAACGGAAGACCTTAACTAGTCTTATTTGTTAAAAGACACAGCAATCATCAAGTTGTTAGAAAAGTAAGGTGTTCCGTTGGGGTACAAATCAAAGTGAACAATAAGGATATCGTGTGTGGAAAAATCAATAACATTGAGACAAACAGTCGTCTACTTTATGGAGCAAAATGAAACACAATGGTCCAGAAATTATTTACATTATTGTATTTTTTCTGTGTTTTTAGGTTTAAATTGTTTTTTTTATAGTACAAATTTATATAAGACATTATACACTGTTATAGAATGTGGTGTATAAAACAAAATATATTTATTAAAAAACTTCATTCATTTTTTTTTATAAGTCAATAAATGAAATACAGATAAGATTGAATGTTTAATCTTATAACCAATTTTTGTTAATTTAAAAACAATTGTCTAAGAACTGTTCATGTTTAATTCTTAGGAGCAAACAGCCCTACAGTACTTAATTTACCCAGGAGTAGACTACTTGTAGTTGAAGGTGGACTGAAGGCCAGACTTAGGCAGGATTATTGAACAAAATCTGCTTGTAGATGGACTACTGAGGTACATAATTATAAGAAATATGAACACAACTGTATCTAACTATTATATAAATAGTGCATGTTTTTGAGGGCTACAATCCAAATTGACACCCCGAGGAAAACCATTGTCAACTGATACAAGGGATGTCAATTTTAAATATTACTGACTGAGTTCAAGGGCAACATGCGTTTTATCAGACCCAAGATCCAAAGTGTCTGCCTGAGACAGATAGGCCAAAGGCAGACAATTTGGTTTGAGGATCGACAAAATTTATTTGCTTGAGAACACAGTCAGTAAATATTTTGTGATACCTTTCATTTCAATATTTATTTAGATGTATATGTATTTTGTACTGTCTTGAACTTCACGTCCGTCACTGCTAAACATCAACAAATGCAAATTAGATTAAGCTCCACCAATTGTGTGATGTACTTGTAAGCGGTCAAACATTTCATCGACCGGTCCAACATCTCACTCAGTGGTTTAATGTCAATTGTTTTATGCCCGCTCAGCAAAACATTAGAAATGTATAGATTTGTATAGGAACAAATTCTTAAAAGTATAACAATAAGGATTGTTAGATGCATCTAAACTAATCAGATTTTAATAGTTAACTTGAAAGTATACTGTATACAGGGAAATTTTCGCCCCCGTTTTATTTTTGCCCCTTTCGCCCTCTCCATGATTGGGCGAATTTAAAACGGGGCGAAGTCAAATTACACCTCATAATTTCTTAAACAGAGCTATGACTGGGCAAATTTAAAACGGGGCAAACTTGTTCACAAGTTCAAAAGGGGGAAAATAACATGGGGCGAAAATAACCATGTATACAGTAATACACTGTAACATGTAATGCAGCATTTTTACTGCTATGTATCATATTAAATCCTTTTTTTTATAATTGTAGGCAAAAAAATTGGACTCTCAGGAGGTGAACAGATGTTCAGCAAGAAATTCGCACATCAAGTGAGTGATGAACTAAAAAGATTTTCTCAATTTTCAGCAAGTTAAGATTTTTCCACAAATTCATTAAAAATCATATCTGAGAAGCATTTAAACAAATAATATCAGATCAATATTCAAAAGAGAAAAGGTTCATAATTCACCAAACCAAAATGTTATCAAGTTATTGTTGTTTTTGATGATTTCAGATGCTGTGAATTACACTGATTTACCCCCCCCCCCCCAAAAAAAAAAGAACAGAGAGACCAATCATTAACAGCTTGAGACTTGGTGCACATAACCTTGCCACAGAAAAGGGGATTTGCCTATAAACACTCCCTAATGAAAGATTTTGTAAATTATTTGTAACACAGGAGAGATATAAGATGTATTTCATTTTCCATTCAGCTACCAAAAATACAATCATTATTAGTTAACATTTGAAAGGAAGTTGATGTATTTTTTTCTTGAAAGGAAAAGTATCAAATTTGTCTCAGATACCTTTGATAATCAATGTACAGAAATACTGAAAATAACACTTATTTATTAAGAAATACCATATATTTAGAAATCATTGTAATAGATATTTATTGTGTATTATTGTGTAAATAATATTATTGTGTGATTTATGTATAGTCTCAAAATCTAGATGCAGTGTATTGTATAAAATTGTATGAACAATTGGTGATTCTTATACTAGTATGTTGCACACTTGACAATTATTGTAATTGTGTTGGCGCTGATAAATATTTATATACATGTCATATATTAGTTCATGTACAAAACATATAAATATTCTATAATATAACATAAAGTTTTGGCCTTTAACTCATCAAAAATGTACATGTACGAGGGTTGATCCAAAAGTAATGTCACAGTGTCCATATCTTTTTTATTTGGCGTCATATTATCAAATACAATATACCAAAAGATGCACAAATATAAATCTAATTAACATTGAAATTTTAGTTTAATAATGTTTATTTGAATTTATTTTATAGATGTTTAAAACATAGAGCATAGGGGGTGTCGCCGCGTCACAACGAAACGTCACAACGAAACGTCACGTTTTAAAGTAATTTTTTTCTTAGAATGAAAAAGACAAACACATTTAAAAGATTTTAAAAAAGCACCTAATCTCCCAATTTTTTAAAGACACAATTTTCATCATATTCTAGTCTTTAATTGAAAATTAAATGACGACATTGGTATTTGTGATTATAAACATTGTTGTGTTACTCTGTTGAATTAAACAAAGGGATTATCGAAATGGGAAAAAAGACTCGACGAGTTGCAATGCATTTTTGCTTCAAAATATGGGAATCATCACCAGTGACATTTTCGTTAATCAATCAGACTTGTAGAATAAAGAATATAAAAAAGAGACATCTTAATAGATGGTTTCAGCAATTTTTGGCGGATGATTGGTCACTGAAATGATTAGCAAAGGACAAAAAGACCGAAAGATAGGAGATCGGACGGAAACGTTCAATGGTGTCTGACGTTGTCAAAAAAGACACACATATAGAGTGACATGTGCATTTTCAAGTTTGTCTTATGATACTGCTCAAAAAATTTTGACAGAGGGCTAAATTATGAAAAGAGTGAGTGTTTAATGGTACCAAGAATTCGTAAAGAAAGTGAAATTGGTGAAAGTGTTTGCGAATCACAAATATTTTTTATTGAAACGAAGGGGAAACGCTTGTAAGTATGACGATGTATTTCCGTCATATGACATTATATTTAGGTGCGGCGACTACCATAAACGCGCATTGTTTAAAATCCGATATTTTGAAAAGTATACACAATATTCCTTTTAATTTTTCAGGTCTGATTTGAAAAAAATAAAGCTTCCATCATATATAATTTTGTTGCTTTACGTCGATTTATAGCAATTTTATCAAAGTTGTGACATTACTTTTGGATCAACCCTCGTATTTCGTTCGCGAACCTTTATTTTTTTTGTAAATAATGAAACCAGTATATTTTAGAACAGAGGAAATTCGGATTGAATTTTTAAAAGTTTTTTGGAAACATAGCAATAATTTCAACAATTATTTCCAAAATAATACATTATTTCACATTTTAGAGAAAATGTATTATCTAACCGCCTGTCCTGTCTCTTAAATTATTAGCCTATATGATATATATTGAAAGCATTTTCTTTTTTCAATGATAATTTTTAAAATGAGGAAATTCGAGCTAACCTGGCAATTTAATGAATATTAATACCCCTTTATTTTTTTGTTGTAAATGATTCATTCAACATCTATCTTTCCTATGGTTGTAAAAATATTTTTTTCTGAATATATGATTTAAGTAACAAGAGGCCCATGGGCCACATCGCTTACCTGAGTAACTTGGGTGATGCAGATCTTTACCAGATTCCCCCTCTTGCTATACCTATCATGCCCAACAACCCCCTTCCCTTTTTAGACGGAGGCTTAGCCTCCGCTCTATTGGTACCGCTCAGCTGCGGCGGAAGGGAATTTGCGATCGCCATCTAGCGGCTAATCACGTTAACTTTGATTAGCTTGGTCCCCCGGCTCATCCTTTCCAAGGCAGGAGTACATGAAGCAAAACAGGGACAGGGAACCAGTCTAAACTTTGATAAACTGGCCTGCCTGTCTGATATCGGATATGTGCTGTATACAGACAGGTGATCAGTAATGTTTAGAGTCCGCTGCTGACACGCTCATTGGCTGATAAAAACTCTCACTGACATAGAATTTAAATTGTCGGGGAAACCAAAACAGATCACCAAGTGCAGTTCTCTGCATCTGCTTTTGATGCAATTAATCTAATTCGGTCACAATATTTTCCACATACAATACATAATTCTTTTTTTTCTCATGGACCTATAATTATCTCACACCTTTCACCTCACCTGGGGATTTTAATTAGTTTGCGAAGGTCCTATCACATTAATACCCTACATTACCTAGATAGAAGAAATCTGCATCATTGTTTCATTGAAACTGGCATATTTTAAATGTTCACTCACTGACTCAGCAGAGAGCTGCGGCTTGTCTGTTTATAGCTCTGCTGCATCTATTTTTAGAATTCCTTATCACATGTTTCAGAAGTTAGATGGGACAAACTGACCCACATGTTTCTATGTTTACATGACCAAAACCAAAACAGTGGCTTGAATCTTACTTTGTGGTGTAAATTTAGTAATATTATGGCTAACCTGTGCAAAAAAGGATGCAATAAAACAATGTTATTATGGAATCTGCAATAGTGACTCAAAGTATGCCCACAAAAAATATATGCAAGGAGTTGAATTTATTAGATTTCCCAAACCTTGGATAGATATTGAAAAAGTGTCAAGGATGGGTGAATGCTTGTAAACGGTTCATTGGCGGATCCAAGGGAGGGGGGGGGTCCGGGAATTGGAAGCCCACTTTATTTTCTGTCTAGTGGAGAGAGAGAGAATGAAACGTTTTCCGAGAATAAATAAAAATACATATATTTGTACGTCTAACTTATGTATTGAATAGATAGATTCTCACACATTAATTTTCTTCCACTCACTTTTCTTTCAAGTGATATGATTAAAACGGTTCTATATTATATGAACCGTTTTAATCATATCATTTGAAGGAACTACCCGGTAACATGCAACTCTTTGTTTTAAACCCAACCCGCACCCACCACGATTTTTTTTTTCAAACTCCAAAAGAAAATTCTTTGTACTCTTTGGAAATGCTGCAAATCCATTCAATTTTAATTAAGGCTTCAGCAGTTTTTTTTATTTTTTCTTTAAATTCGGACTGGGGGACCAAAGAAATAAATGGACGTAAACAGATATTATTTACCGAAACCTAAGATCTTCCATACGTGTGTGTGAATCTTTGCTTGAGAGTGTGTATGGGGGGGGGGGGGGGTTATATGGACAGTACAACAAAGGAACCCCTGTTTCAAGAGTGGCTGGATCCGCCTCTGAAACGGGAAGGATTTTCAACGAAAATGGGTATTATCCGTAAAATCGCGTATAATACTGGATATTAGGGTATCGTTGAATCCACAATATCTAGTCAAGGTGGTGTAATCACTTTATAAAACTTGAACAATGGGATGGCATATTTTGCGGAGTCAACTTTCACCTAGATGCAAATGTTTCTAAAGGTATCACCAGTCAAGTAAGAATTTGGAAGTCAGGATTAATGCGCACTGGACAACAAATACCTGTAGAGCTTAGTACATTTCAAGATCTGCACCCAAACAGGCGTTTGTTCTGCTTGATATTTTTCATAATGTTGGAAATATTTGGATCTTCTTTATGTTCATACCCAACACAACAAAACTATTAATGTGCATGTAGATCTATGCATTGTTATATCTGAATGCTTGTATCTCAGCTCCTTTTAGTCCTGAAGAGTTAGAGATACTAAAGTACTTTTTGGCTTTCTCACATTTCAGGAAGCTCTTACCACGAGTCACTAAAGAATTGAAATTGATATAGTTTATTGCAATTAGATTGGTTTGTCCTTTTGATGAAAAATAGGAATTCAGTAAATTACATAATTAAACATTAGACCATGGTAACATAAATGAAGAAGATGTGTTTGTGAAACACTGTTGCCCCCCCCTATATATCCCTTACCATTCAAAAGTCATGGCCAAGGTTAAAGTTTTTTCAGAAGTATAGAATGTCGAAGGTCAAGGTCAAAAGGTCAAGTTTGTTAATATCCAATGAAAAGTCTTTCCACAAAAAAAAAGATATATGAAGTATTAATGTCCTGGTATCTACTTTTCAAAAGATATGGCCAACTACCCTTAGGCAAATGTTGGGGTCAGAATATGAATAAAAAATTCCCAAAGAGACAAACAATCATGTTCATTCCAAGCCTCCGTCTATCAGTACTTTCAGTACTTTGATTTTATTTTAAAACTTTAGAATCTACACTACCCGAGGATGCTTCCACATAAGTTTCAGCTTTCCTGGCCCAGTGGTTCTTGAGAAGAAGATTTTTTAAAGATTTGTTCTATATATTTCTATGTAAAACTTGGATTCCCTAATGTGGCCCTGCCCCACCCCAGGGGTCATGATTTTAACAATTTAATATCTACACTACCCAAGAATGCTTCCACATAAGTTTCAGCTTTCCTGGCCCAGTGGTTCTTGAGAAGACGATTTTAAAGATTTGTTCTATATATCTATGTAAAACTTGGACTCCCTATTGTGGCCCCGCCCTAACCCCGGGGGTCATGATTTTTACAATTTAATATCTACGCTACCCAAAGATGCTTCCACATAAGTTTCAGCTTTCCTGGCCCAGTGGTTCTTGAGAAGAAGATTTTTAAAGATTTGTTCTATATATTTTTATGTAAAACTTGGATTCCCTATTGTGGCCCCGCCCCACCCCCAGGGGTCATGATTTTAACAATTTAATATCTACACTACCTGAGGGTGCTTCCACATAAGTTTCAGCTTTCCTGGCCCAGTGGTTCTTGAGAAGAAGATTTTTAAAGATTTGTTCTATATATTTCTATGTAAAACTTGGATTCCCTATTGTGGCCCCGCCCCACCCCCAGGGGTCATGATTTTTACAATTTAATATCTACGCTACCCAAGGATGCTTCCACATAAGTTTCAGCTTTCCTGGCCCAGTGGTTCTTGAGAAGAAGATTTTTAAAGATTTGTTCTATATATTTCTATGTAAAACTTGGATTCCCTATTGTGGCCCCGCCCTAACCTTGGGGGTCATGATTTTTACAATTTAATATCTACGCTACCCAAGGGTGCTTCCACATAAGTTTCAGCTTTCCTGGCCCAGTGGTTCTTGAGAAGAAGATTTTTAAAGATTTGTTCTATATATTTCTATGTAAAACTTGGA